AAAAGTTCTATTTGGTTCTTTTTGAGAGTTTCAATCTCCTTGCTGTTCAATCATCTAGCTGTTTTTGCAGTTTCTGAAACTGTTGATATGACTCATTTCAGAACTCACTGAGTTTTTTCAGAAGTACCATCCTGAATTCTCTATCACTTGTCGCATATTTCTATGACTGTAAGCTCATTTTCTGGAGATTTTTCTCTTTCTTTCTGAGATGCATTGTCACCTTGGTTGTTCATGGTGTTTAATGGACTATTTCTCCGCCTGGACATTAATGGAAGTGTATTCTGTTGTTTTTTCCAGAAAGAAGATTTATTATATAAAGTTCTCTCTTTAGCCTGCTGCAAAGAAGGCGCTTTTCTTTTGGTTTCAAATAGGTGGCATCTAAGCCTCTTGGATCCCTGCTTTATATAAAGCCTAATGTCTTTTATTTTCTTGTAGATTTTAATCACACTTGCTACCCTCAGTTTTGGTCCCCATCAGTATTAGCAACAGTTTTTGTAGCATTTGCTCAGATTCCCCTGGGGATCCACGGTGATTGGTCTCAGAGGGTATGTAGGGAGGGGCCCTATTACTTAGGGGTTGGCGGTTGCGGCTCAGCCTCGGTTTTGCAACCGTGGCTGGTAGAAATCAACTGTTGTTTCTCTGCGGTCCCATCCCACTTCTCTGCTTTCTGCCTTGATGACTGAGCTCTGCTGCTGGCTGCGTAGAAAAGTCCAGGCACTTCCAGGCAGGGCCGATCAGGGAAGTCTCCCCTACTCCTTCTCCTGCAGGGAGCTCCGGAGGCTGTGAGAGACAGCTTCTTTATTACTCCCAGTCAACCGCCCGACACTTAGGGTTCTGATCTGTGGTAGCTCTTATGCGCAGATCCCACGCTCAGACGTGCTGGTGTGCAGTTTGGGTGTTTTTTGTTGAGTTTGAGATGTTCAGCTTATTGTTGTTTCAAGGAGAGAGATCTGGGGATGTCTCTTACTCCACCATGTTTCCGAATAATCAGAACATTGTAATTTTATTCTGTAATATTACTAAATATTAGATGATTCCAAGGCTTAAAGAAAATATTAAAATTGAATAAAAATGACTGTCATGCTAAGGAGGAGGAAAATAAATAGATCACATTGAAAAAATTTAAATAAAAATTCATTTTTAATTATTCTCCCCAATGGACCTACATCCTTAAAATTTTTACTTTAAAATTTATTTTCAATTGTTCCACCAGGGAGACTTCCTCTGTCATTTGGCATTTAAAAGGTGAGGAGAGAGTCTTGCTACCATGAAACAACATCAAAATCTGACAAAATATAAATCACACTCTGCTCTATGGCCAGAGAGGAGTGGTGTAAGCAATCACAGGAGCTGAGGTCCAGAGAGAAACAAGTCCTACTGAGCAAAGGTGTGAGGCACAGTCGCCTCATACCTAGGGCCAGGTACCTGTGGATTCTTGCAGATTTGCCAAAAACTGAGACATTTTGCAAGGACGAGAGGATATTATCAAGACTTAAAGGACAGTAAAGACTGATTAGAGGATGGAAGAACTGCAAACACTAAGGTAGACTGAGCAACTATACATACCCAGTCCCCAGAAGTTTACTGTGAAAGCGACAAAGCTAGTTTTAGGCATTCTCTATGTGAACGATTCCAGGACTCTGTTGAATTGAATCCAAACATATCTGAAACTATAGATAACTATTTTCAGTTTAAATACAGAAAAAAAATAAAATAGACTGATCTGCATGTATACTTAGAAGTAAACTTATAGGCATAAATAAATCAATTTTCAATAAATACAACAAAGCAATCAATGAGAGAAGAAAAATCTTTTCAACTAATAATCCATAAAGATATTCATTTAAAAAAAACTTGATGACTACTTAACATCTTCCATAAAAATAATCTGAGATGCATCACAGAACTAAAAATAAAATCTAAAACTATAAAACTTCTAAAAGAAATTCTGAAATAATAACTTTGTAACTGGGAGGAAGGTAAATTTTTCTAAGGTGAAATACAAAAAGCAATACTATAAAAAAAAAATAAGTAAGAGTTCATCAAAAAGAAGGCTTACAGTCATCAAAGAGATGTGTAAGAAAATGCACAGGCAAGCCTGGAAAAACGTATCTGTCAAAAATTTATATATATAATACATACAGACCCCCTACAACATAATAATATAAAGACATGAAATCCAATAAAAATAGACAGTGGATTCAGATACTTTATCAAAAAGAAAAAGAAAAAGAAAGAAAGATATACAAATGCCCTATAAACACAAAAAGAATGTTCAGTATCATTAGCTTTAAGAAAGTGCAAAATTAAGCCACAATGAGATATTATCTCGTACCCACTAAAATGGCTAAACTTAAAACAAAGTAAGCAAAATTGAAGAATGACAATGTTACCTTTGGGGCCAATTCGAACTTCGGTGTCACCCCAACAGCAAGAAGTGTGGAGGGATAACAGTGCAGAAGTGTAGTCAGCATTTTTCCTCAGTTCTTCCCCATTGACACAGTGAAGAACCAAAGGTCAGTGAGATTTAGAAAAGATTTATTAAAAGTATATTTTAGAAAGACAAAGCACACACCAAGGAGGCACGTGGTTTTGGCAACAAGAGCTGTAACAGAGTACTGTAACAACAACCACAATAACTAGCACGAAAGGACTCCAGAAGTGGGAATGTCTGTCTTATATCTGGACTGTGATGGGTAGTTTCAAAGGCATTCTGAGGTGATTGGTAAGCAAGGTCATTTTGATTGACACCTGGCTGCTATATAACTCTTTGCCTAGTGTGTATGTACGTACCCAGAGTTCTACTACCATTGGGGGGTGTTCTTTGGGTAGTCTCTGGGCTGGGTCCCTATTCCTTTGTTCCCCCTGTTGCTCATGTCTGACTAGCTACCTAACAACAATATCAAATACCAGTGAAAATGTGGAACAAGAACTCAATATTTTACTGGTCTGAGTGTTTCTTATAAAACAGAAGCAGCCCTATGACCAAATACTTCTACTCTTCAATGCAAATTAAAATGTCTAAAAAATTTGCATCTGAATCTTCATAGAAGCTATATTTGTAATAACCAAAAACTCTAAACAAATAAAATGCCTACCAAAGGTTAATGGATAAAAAAATTGGTTATACTACAAACTGATTATTCCTGATGCTACTGAGGAATAACAAGGGAAGAACTGTTTCATGTAGCTGCATGGGTATATCACAAGATATGCCAAGTTAAAGAAGTTGAAATAAATAAATACATATGGAATGGTTCCATTTATTTGAAATTCTAGAACAGTCAAAACTAATTAGAAGCTTATCATGACTCTTCTGGTAACATGAGATAAAAGAGCCTTCAGAAAGAAGACACAGTGTACATCAAAACCAGGACTGCCATGACACGTATTTTAGAAAACCAAAAATATCGTGTTATTGAATTTAATTTAGTAATTAAAAAAAATTTAATTGGTAAAATGCTTGCAATTATTTACAAACTTGATTTCTCTTTCATGCTTTAGTCAAATATACCTCTTGATCCAGGGGGACAAACAATCTTTCCTAATTGAAGGCTCAGAATTTATCTCTTATGATACCAAACTTGAGTAAATTGAGTGACTCTTCTGTATGAATGTTTACATACCCCACAAGGGAGAACATTGAAATAGTTTGTCACCCCTTATCCATAGAGTTTTCATGAAATTAAAAATAATAGTTATAGTCTGATGAATATTTGTGAGTTAATTTAAATACCACTTGAGAATAATAAAGGGAAGGAATTTTTTTATTCAAAAAGAGCTTGCAAAACTATAATAACTTATTAAAGGGAAATAAATGATTTAGAAAGAACAAAACTTACTTTCCATTCTGTCTCCAATCATTTTGGATCAGACATTTAAGTTATAAGGAATACATTCCATGTTCGGATGCCATTATATTGCTAATAGGCCTGGCTCATCAAAAAAAAAATTTTACTCAATAAGAAGGGCATATTTTAAATAATATTATTTGTTATTTTGCTTTGGGGCTTTTATGTTCTAAGCACTCTAATAAGCAATTTAACATGAATTATATCATTTAAATTTCAAACTCTGTGAGGACGAAACTAATAGAAAACGGAAGCTTAGAGAAATAAGTGACTGTCTTCAATACAAAGCCAAAAGAAAGAGACAGAGCCTAGCTACACAGCCATATTTGTCTTGCCTCCAACTTGTTATAACAACTGCATATTCAGCCTCCCTGGGCTTCTGCTGGAGCTGGAGAAATGTAAGGAAAAAAAGTAATTTTACCTCTACCTTTCTAGGTTCTTGGCTGAGACCCCACCTGAATAAAAGATAGATTAACAGGAGAAAAAGAAGCAAATTTAATAACATGTGTATCTCCTGTCTACATGAGAGATATTCAGGAAAACTACGTAACTCCTTGAAATGACCCAAGCTACAACCTTAAATACTATCTTCAGATAAAGACAAAAGAAGATGTTGGATGGGGGGATTGGTAAATATGGGAGGTTATCAGGCAAAGTACAGTAAACAAGAGTATGGTTGTTAGGCAGATTTGTCAATTGCTTTCTCCATTGATAAGTTTCTAGAGATTTAGTCATCTTTTTTCTCCTTGTGCAGAAGGAGACATCCTTAAATATGAATATTTCACAACACCACAGCTATTGGACTTTTCATCTGAGTCTCCTTCTCGCATTGACCCGCAGGTTTTTGGTGATTTCCAATCACCATTCATCGCTACAGATACTCCTGAATATTCTGTGCCTGCCTTCCAGGCCCCAGTATCCTCAGCAGTCCCTCAGCTTGCTGCCTCCAGGGACCAACGTGGAGATGGTATCTGTGTGTTGTTTCTTTCCTTTGTAACAAGACATGACTACTATCTATGCCCCTACCTTGCAAAAGTGCTATGAGAATGAGTGAGAGGATGTATGAGAAAGCTTTTTGAAGTTTTTAACACTTTTAATTTACTCCTCTCTCAATTGAAGAGATAATCTTTAAGGTTCCCATGGCTCAGTGTTTCTATCATCTGTAATTTATGAGCTTGCTATTCAAATTCCTAATTTGAATGCCAAATATCTCAGTTTATGCTGAGGCAGATTCCATTAAGCATTAGTAAACTGATAAATGCTGAGAATAAACTTAAAAAAATTCAGAAGACTAAGCTCTTAAGCTCTTGCTCAGGTTATCTTACTTTAAAGGTCTTCTGATTTTCTCCAACCAGTCTGATAATTATAGCTCACTTTTAAAGATATTAGGTCCCTGGGAAATATTAAATCATAGGGAATTTCTTTTTTATCCACTTAGTTTTAGCTGTACCTATTGCCTCAAAAATTTTTCAATATGGCTTATAATAAATATTATAAAATGGCCTCATTTGATCTCAAATTGAACATTTTAAATTCAAACAGAAATTTGGGGCATTAAATGACAGCAATAATGTTCACAGCTGTAGTAGTTAGGGTTAAATAAAACTAATACCACTAACAATTTGATATTTTGGTCAAGCTTTTGATCTTTAGAATATTATAGTTTGGTTTATGTACAAACAGAATTGTTCTGTTTTCTCCTTTAATTACAAGCATAAAAACTTACCCTCTGATTCAATATACTATACATTCAGTTTTCCATTATGAAATAGGAAAATCTTATAGAGAACTTATACAGTAGAATTATCTTACCACTTATTTCAAATAAATAAGTAAAGGTGTAAAAAGCTAGCAGAATATAAGATCTTGGAAGTCAATGATCTTTGTATATAGTCTGCTTCACCATTCTTAATTGTGGTAGTGATGCAGGATGGGGCGAATCCCAGAGTGAGGACTCAAGTCCTACACCGAGAGAGAATGGGTCCTTGACTGTGTGCAGGAAAGAATTCGAGTGCATGCCATTGTTAGAGACAAACGGAAAGTTTATTAGTGAAAGAATAATACTCCACAGAGAATGAGAGAGACCCTGAGTGTCCGAGGAATTGTTTATATGTGATTCTTAGTTTCTGTGAATTACAGTTTAAAGACTGTTTTCCTATTTTCCTTTGATGATATGGGTATGCAGTGGTAAAGATATGGGCATGCAGGGTTAAGAGCATGAGTAAATAGTGTTAGTAATCCCAGCAGGCATCTTCCTGTGTTCTTTAGGTTCTCCGTGGTCTGGAAGCACACTCCAGGCTCTGAATACCACTTGATTTAATACTTAGTCAATTTGTGTAGTTCTCATGCCTCTTCCCTATATCAGTAGAAATGATATTCTTTGTACAAATGCAGCTGTTATATATATAAAAAAAAAAAATCTCTCTTCACCAAATCTTAGTGGTTGTTTATTTTCAATTGAGAAAGAGGTGGTTAACTGCCATTGAACCGTTTAACAAAACTTTGATTTCTAATGCCTCCATTGCCACCTTTACCTTTGACAGATAAAACTTAGTGGCTACTGATTGCTTCATATTTAGAAAATTCTCATTGGTGCCCACATTCAATCCAAATCCGAAACTCACGTTCTTTCCAAACCTGGCCACTGTTGCTTTCCTGGGATTTATCTCTACTTCTCTAGACATAAAAACCAGATATAGTTGTAGTTTCTGTGCAGCCCCTCTGAGAGATAAAGACAAATAATGATAAACCTACCTTCAAATGCTGACTCTGCCTTTTAATTTGCTTTGTGATAATATACAAGATTTGGAAGCTCAAAGCTCTAAGTTTTCCCACATACAGATCTGACAAACAAGATTAAATAGGCCCATAAAAATAGAGGTTATGATAGGAAGTAAAAGCCATACTATTTTCCTTTTCTAACTGCCTCACACTCTCCTCTTCCTATTTAAATACATGGGTAACCTAGTAGATCCAAGAAAGAGCTGCAGGTCTAGTTCTGTTTTATGACATTGAGGAAGTCACAAAAGGCCAGCATGTCTGTTTTGATATCTGTAAAATCAGGATAATTATAGTTGACAGCTGCGCACCATACTGTGAAGACAAATGCAATAACATTCACAAAGCAAGTGACACTCAGGGGAAAACTAGAGCCACATGCAATAAGGAGTAATGGCAACGATGGCACTGAACTTATTTTTCAATATTCACTAAAAAGATGTGTACACCTGTTGTCCAGGACATACTGTCCTATAATGAAAACCAAACACCTGCCAGAATTCATTAAAGCTCAGGTCACCAAAGGATAACTATATTTTAATATATCTGTTGCAACTTTTGGAGATTAAGAAGGAGCCATTGAGAAAATGAACTGTGTCATAGTGGGGCTGGCAGGAAATAAAAAAGCAAAACAAACCAAGAACAACAAAGAAAACAACAAACCCTCATGGCCCATTCTATGCAGCTCCCTTTTAGCTGATAGCACACTTTACTGTGAATCTCACTGGCTTTACCCTAAGCAAATACATTAACTACATCTACTGGGAGATTGTGCCAGCATCTTTAGATGTCACTTTGCCTGGCAACAGATGTTCCTAATACACCATTCCATAAGTCTCTTGGTGTTGCATTCAATCAGATCTACACCTTTCATGAGGCTTGGTATTAGAAATTGTGCAATTTTTCTCACTTGATTTGAACTTAGATTTTTCAACATACCTGCAGAGGACTACTATCAGAAATAAAATGCTTTTAAATGAAACTGTTTACTTAAGAGAATCCATGAAAAATCATGAGAGACACTGATTAAGGGCAACAGCTTTTCTGATATTTCTTTAGTTTTAGAAATGCCTGTTTTCATTGTTTGGCATGGCTGTCTATATTATAAATAACCATAAATATATCAGGAAGCCTTTTTCCTAGCCTCACTTGGTGCCCCCGAGAGGTTTTCTGAATGCTAACCTCCTACAGGAGGTCCATTTGCATCACAACCTGTGTAATCTAACCGAAGCAACGGGAATGTTCTGAGAGAATATATTTTTGTCCAGGTGTTACTCTCTGGATTGAAAGAGAACATAATAGAAGCGACTTTTTACATATGCTGGCTGTGAAAGTATGACCAGGTGTGAGGAGAGGAAGTAAAATGTTCCTTTTAAAAGTTGAAGGTACGTAACACCAGAGGTAGGAAAAGGGGACTAAAAATCAGAGAGAAAAGAGGCCAGTCTTTCAGGAGAATGCTTGGTTCTTTCGGAACAGAATTTTTTACAAACACACATCAGTAATTCATCAAAGTCAAACAATGCCCATTGTTCAATTTCTTATGGCCTCAATGGGCTTCTTCCTTTCCCTCCTCCCCCATGCCAAATGAAATCCATTTGACATGGATTTCAAATACTACGCTTTGTCTTTAGAGTCTGATTTTCTTGTTTAGGAAAATTAATGAAAAGTGATCATGAAAGGTAATACTAGTAAAAAGTAGAATCCTATTTATGAGGCTTGGCATGTTAAGAGTTTTAATAAATATCTCTATCTCAGTAAGTCTTATGGGGACAGTGGCTTCTATTATGGGTCCCACTCTTCTTCAGAGAACTGTGAGGTTAATCCTCCAAAAGCTTGTCTGACTCCCAATTATCTTCCCAATTAGTATATCAAGGCCTTTTTTGATCTGGTCTCTCAAATACCTTACAGCTTCATCTCACTGCTCTCGTAAGTTTACCTAACATTCTAGCCTAAACGATTAACTCTTTTCTGCATTTCCTAAAGTCTGTCCTATTTCTTTTACTGTACATTGTTATCTGTAATTATTTGCCACCTTCTCCCTATCTCCATGTGTCTAAACACTATCTTTAGAGCTACTTTCCCCATCTCTGCCCTTTAAGCCAAATCAATTGTTATCTCTCTAGAAATCCCATAGCAATATATTTAGATCCTGCATACATCATTTTATCATATTCTCTACCATACATTATAATCATCTATGTAGATACCTTATAACTTCCACTGATATTTTGTGCCATATATTACTTTTCTCCAAGGTCAGAATTTAATTTGTGTTTATAAATATTTAATTTGTGTTTATGTCCCCTCCATAAATATACCTCCCAGAGTGCATTATATTTAGTCGTTACTAGATAACTCTTAAATAAATACAGAAAAGACTGTCTTTCTTCTGATTTCATTAACTCTTCTTTTATTCATATGATTTTATACTCCATTTTGCTCACAAATTTCTTAACTTGTCTGGCTGAAAATGACAAGGTTGCATTGTGGCCTAGAAAGAAAGGTAGGAAAAAATGTCGCAGGCAACGCTGAGGTTTCTTGTGGCTCATGGTTGCTTAAACCAAGGAGGGGCTGTTAAAGGTCTGAAGCAGAGCTTCTTTTCCTATTTTAGCCTGGATTAAGTTTTTGGTTCTGGGGATGGTTAGTGTTTGCATTGACAATAAGTAGTAATCACTATTGAGCAAACGGATTGTCCTATATTTTTCTAAGTTTACCTAAAATTTTAAACGAAATGTATCAATATTGTATTGGAAACTCTGCTCCAACACTTATTGGAGGGTATCTCATGCTCTAATTTATTATTTATTTCTCAAAAACAAAAACGTAGAATTTTTTAGTGGCACTCTCTTAATAATCTACCTTTTATTTTCTGCCTTTCCTCTTCCATCTCACTATTAGTAATTTCTCTGCCTTCCATATAAACACAATGCATCCAATTTCTTATCTCAGGGTTAGCTTCTGGGAGAATACAATTGAAAGGCATAGGTTATCAAACAATTTCTACTTGTATAACTCTGTAAGTCACAAAACAAGTACACATTAGTAGGAGATATGGCAAAGAATATTTTGTTGTTACAGGCAGTTTTTCTCTCTTTTTTTTTTATTTCATTTTGCAATGCCAATAACACGTGAACGTATCTTTGCCTCTAAATTCTAAATTCAGGAAAAATAAGGACTACTCTTATATTC